AGAGAGAGAGAGAGAGAGAGAGAGAGAGAGAGAGGAGACCTTGTAATGGCCTTCGTGCCTCATGTCTAGCACACTCTTGACTTGCCAAAGAGGATTTCGATACATGGCTCGCATATGCTCAGCCGGAAAGGACATCGCGAGCAATCGATCAGTTATATAAGACATGTCGAGGTCATAACCAGCCACGACCAATCGCCTCCTCTTTTTTGAGACGAGGTTGCGAATAAAGAAGACTCTTGCGAGGTAATTGAGCAGGCTCTGATGGCCATCAAGAGCCCCCAATGTTCCATCATGCCCCGCCCCCTCCTTTGAGAATTTGGCCCCCGTTGTGAACCGGTCTGAGAAGCTGGATGGCCAATCAGATGATGGGAAAAGGCATGAGAGAGAATGAGGAACAAAGTCTGATTTTGAAGGGCACCAACACAAGAATTTTCCCATTGTCCCAAAGATCAGAATGAAAACTAAACACAAAAGAATTGCAGAGAAAAATATTTGAGTACCTCAAAAAATTGAGCTTCCAAGCTTTTGTAACACCCTCCTCTGAATAAATGTCCTCAATGCCTTATTGGTGTAGGACCTAAAATACAAACAAGGAAAAACCAACAAAATGGAACGAAAAACAGAAGACATCTAAGCTTTTCTATGGACAGGAGCCAAAAAAAACCACTATCAAAAGAAGAATAATAGAGACAGAAGAAATTGGGTAGCTTCAAATTTTGATCTTTCAGGCTTTTCTAGGTACAAAAATGAGAGAAACCAAGAACAAGGATCAAAGAATACAGAGAAAGAAGAATTGGGTACCTTCAAATTTTGATTCTTTCAAGCATTTGTTAGGGTATAAAATCAAAGAATTACAGACTGAAGAAATTGGGTACCTTCAAATTTTGATCTTTCAAGCTTTTTTACGACATATACCTTTGAATCTGCCTCTCCTAACCATTGGCTCAATGGACACAGACCAGGAACAGGCAACTCCAGGGTGCCCATTTGCCCTAGTGGCACTTTTTTAGGGGACCCTCCCCTCCAAATCCTGGAAATGTCCTTTCTGCAATGGTTTCCATATCTCTCTTGAATAGATCCCTGAAATTTGCTGAGACACAGAGTTTTGGGGTTGGGGTATTCCAAATTTAGTGAATTTTCAGCCCTGACAATGCAAGAAAGGGGCCGAGAGTTTAGGGCCCTGGTTTCCTTTTGAATCCCGCGAGAAAACATGGATTGAATTCTGGGGAGTTTAGAGAGAGAAAGAGCTAGAGAGAGAAATTTGTCACTTTTTTTTATGTCACATGGAATATTGGCCTGCTATTTTTGGAACATGCAGCAGCATGTAGGAATAAATACACGGTACGCTCCTGAGGTAGAAATACTTCTCTCCAGAGGTCTCTTCTTGTTTTATCTCTCTACATGACCCCTCATTCCTGGCAACTCTACATAATTTTTATTTTATTTATTTATTTTTATCCGAGAGCTTTTCTTCTTCCTTTTTTCTTTTAAAGTAAAAGTAGTAAGTCGGTAAAAATTTGAGCCCCTAACTTTTTGTTAGAATGGATTAAAACCCCACAATAGAGCTCGACAATACTACCTCTAAGACCTCGGGCCATTCTCAAGAACCTCTCAGTGTATAGCTTTTTTCTCTTTCAAGCATGCTTTAACTTCTCTCTCTCTCCAATTTTTTTCCTTTTTTTATGTCAAGCATTTTACAACTCGGATCGGCGGGGTGGATCGTTTGCCTATAAATCTATGCTAATTTGTTGGATATCTAATTTGAGTTGGGTTTGGTTAAGTTCGAATAAATGATTTAAAATTTATGAAAAATAAATTACAAATTAAAAAAATAGGGTTTTTTGGATGGGAATTCAAGAGGACTTAAAAAAACATTGGATAAGCTTATAAAAAAATAAAAAATATAAGAGGTGGGGTTTTAGGGGGAAACTCGACAGGCACCCATACCATCCCAGAACAAATCCGGTTATGACCCGTTCCTATCTGGATCGGTGACCCATATCGAAAATCATCAAGTTTTAAAACACTGCTCGTAGCTCACTTCTGGATCTGAGGACAAGTAAGGTCGATTGGGCTCGGGGTGAATCGATCTAGTTCAAGTGGACCTGGACCCAACCCATTGAGCTAGGAGTTGAGCATAGATTCAGATCCACTCGTTCCTTGCCCCTCTCCCCCCCCCATCCCCCCCAAAAAATAACTTTTTCTTCATTTAACTATCTTTTAAATTCTCAATTTTCTTCCCTATTACTGACCTTTTTTCTAACTTTGAAGATTTCTATAACGGAAAAGCTTTTACATAGTTATTATGTAACAAGTTATCTAGATACTCTATTTTCGAGATTTTAGAGTATTTATAGAGATGCTCAATTTGCACAATTTTTGAAATTTTAAAATTCATAATAAGAGTTGAACAAAGATTTCAAGTTACTGTAAGGTTTCCAACACCAAAGCTAAATCTTCCAATAAAACCCAGAGGTGTGCCTTACTTGTAGGGCATGTTTGATAACAGGAAGTTAGTTCCTAGAAGATGGAACTTACATGTTACTATTCAAATATTGTGTTTGATAAAAAAGGTAAGATTAAAAGAGGAATTCCCTTTACTATTCATCTTCTCACTTTAGTGATAAAAAAAGTTCCGTGGAAAACCATAGAACTTGAAAATGGAAGCTTTTTTTGAACTTCTTCCCCCGATAAAACTCTTTGCACCTTGCTTTAACTCCTCACCCCTCTCGCTTGCAAGAACCGCTCACCTTCATCCTTCTCTCCTGCAACAACCACTCGCCTTCATCAGTTGCCTGCAACAACAACAGCAGCAGATCACGTGCCATTTTCATAGGTAACACTCTCCTCTCTCTCTACTCCATTTGTACTATCTCTATCTTCTCTCTCATCTCTCTTTTCCTAGAAATCAATGTTTTTCCTCTCTTCTCTCCTTTAACCCTCTTTCTATTAACTCCTTTCTCTCTCCTTTAATTTTTATCTCTCTTCCCTCAACGACCCATTAACTCAGATAACCTCTAGCATCTCTCTTCTTGCTAAAAGAGGAGTCCATATTCCCTCTCTGTTGGTTGTTTTTTTTTTGTAATATTGTGTCATTGCTTGAACATCTTGTATTTACACATGAATTAATAATAAGTCGAACGTTAACCGTTAAAAAAAAAAAAAAAAAACGATCCTTGAGATATTTCTAGAAGCACTCCTTTACTTCATAGTATCCGGGAAGAATAGTAATCGGCTCCAAGAAAATTATTCACTTCAAGGTTACACTCGTCCCAAGTTCTATAAATCGCATGTACTCGACCAACAAGAACGATATAATATAGCTATTCATGCATTGTCTGGCAATTACAACCAAAAAAAAAAAAAAAACAAGGTAATCGCTCTCTGAAGTAATATAGCTGAATATAGATCGTCGGATACTTTGATGACTACACATCATCTCCAAATAATCAACAAAGGAAAACCAACTTGTGTCAACAATAAAGAATCAAATCGTGTGTGAGAGAGACCTCATGACTCCCTATTCGCAAATCACATGGCTCTCTACATGTAACAATATCGTATGGAGGAGTAAGAAAAGAGCTCCTTTGGAGCACGCCCACACTTGGATTATAAAACATTACAAAAAATAAAATAAAATAAGAAGAGTATCCATCTTATTGAATGAATTGAGTTCAATATGTTGTAGAGGTACAATTTCATGACAATAAATCTTCCCTCTCCATTCAATTTGTGCAACCTTAAGATGGATACATTTTTAACCTGAAGGAATTTCAACATCATATTGTGATGTAGATTTATTGTCATTGAAAATTTACTTGTCTCTCTATTAAGTGACATCAAATAGTTGAATAATTTTTTTTTATAATAATTTTGTTTTGCTTAAAAATAAGTGAATAAAGTTTTTTAAATGGTTACAATAGACACGTTCTTGAGTTTTTGAATGAGATAGATGATTCAAGTGTAGTATAATGGAAAATTCAAACAATTTTTTAGTGATCAAAATCATGAATCTGATTAGTCTATGGATGGGCTACTATTAAAAAAATGACTTGGCTTCTATGCGGCCAAGCCCGCATATGTAGAAATGCATTCTATTTTTGTGATGGATTTTAAGACTTAATTTTTAAGGATATGTAATCTCTAGATCATGAATATGAAAAAATAAATAAATTTTAAAAATTAGAAATAATAATTCTAGTAAGAAACCGTCAGTTTCTATTGTTTTTAGATGGAACACCTACTTGCATATATCTTTAAGATGAATGCTTTACACTTTCTAGATCCCATCTATTACCCAAAGGAAAAATTTTATCTAAGGCCGAGGCTCTAAACAATCAATTTAGGGCGCACCTCAAAAATTGACTAAAAGAGGTTGTTTTGAAACCCAAAATTCCTCAAATTGATCATCTCGACCTCAAGATGTATGGACATGAAAAAAAATAGATTTCAAATTTTAGAAAGAGTGCATTTTGTAATGCATTTTCGGGCCCTCAATTTTCAAGATTATCAAGTGTTCCAAGATTTGCTCGATCGGCACTACTTTTAAAATTTTAAATTTTAAATTTTATAATTAAAGATAAAAATCAATTTCAAGTAATCACAAAAATTTTCAATATTGAAACAACATCTTTCGACACTATTTAAATATGCACCTTAGTTTGATTGTTTAGAGCCTAGGCCTTAAATAAACCACACCCTTACCTAAAATCCAAGCTTCATAAAATTGGTATTTAAGTGAGGATTAGTATAGGTGGGAAATAACAATATATCAGCAAAGCAAAACACCGATGATAAACAGGTTTGGTTTTGAAATGTCGAAAGCCAAAAATGCGTCAAAAAAATGGAAAGAAAAAATCAGAGATTTTTTTTTTTAATCATAATTTAATCGGGAACTTGCTAACTATGACCTAGATGTGTCAACGAAAGATAGGTCTAGCTCGACGAACCTAGACCTGACCCATTGGGTTGCGTCCACATCTAGATAGAAAAAAAAACTATTATTTGTGTTTTACACTATATAAATACCAATATTCATAGGGAAAGTTTACACATAGTTGCATCCTTATTAGAAGTAGTAATCTACATTGGGAATGGGGTTAAGGTCGTGGTGGTAGCACCCCACACCCTATTTACCACGTTGTGGTTTCCATTCCCACCACTAACACCACCTCACTAATAGCTTTAAAAAATTAACTCCTCATCTACTTGAAAAAGTGAACTCCTCATCTACTTGAAAAAACCGGTAGGGGCTTATCTTCCTCACTGAATTACCCAAAAAAAGTAGTAATCAACATTGTTTATTTTATTTAGACAATGTAGATGGTATATTGGACACTTTCTTTAGAATGTGTCACTTGTTTTATCGGGTGCGGTTAGCATACGGATGCATCTGTAGCTGTAGAGGTAAGGTGCACCTTCAAATTTTATCATGATATATAATTTTGAGGTAAAATGTTCTTAGTATTATCTCAAAATCTATTTGTATATCTAATTATACAATTTTAAATTTAAAAAATGGTTAAAATCAAGTAGATCTATAAACATAAGAAAATCTTCAAAATGGATGATGTAGATAATATGTTGCAAAATGAACTATTTCTGAGACTTAAAATCTTTTTATTTTTTCATGGTCATACATCTTGATGTTGAGATGATCAATCAAAGGGTTTTTCAACATTAAAACTACCTTTTCTGATGGATTTTTGAGGTGCATCCGTTGTGCTACATTATAAGGTTGCATCCTTAACTTTTTCCGTTTTTATACTATATTAAAAATGGGCTTTGTTAGGTTATTATTAACTTAACTTACTCAACATTCCACTAGCTCATATTTACATATAAGGCCAATGGCCCAGATTGAATCTGGGCCAATCTGACAGTCACGACCTCATTTTGTATTTGAATTTTATTTTATTTTCTACAAATCCAAATCACTTGAAATTTTGGCGTCCATTATTCTCATCAAGGCGTACCTAATAAAAGTATTTTAAAAATAATTAGTAGGAAATAAACTGACCAAAATACCCCTGAAACTTTTCGAGGGTATTTTAATAATTTTATTTCTTGTAAATTATTATTTTTCAATATTTTTATTACATCATCATTATATATATATATATATATATATAT